ATTTAATACACACTTCTAACCTTGGTTTATGGTATCCTAAGGGCTCTAAGTTTGATCTACTTAGGTATTTGGATTCCGATTACGTCAGTTGCAAAGTAGATCGAAAAAACACTTCGGGGACATGTCAATTCCTTGGACGATCCCTAGTGTCTTGGAGTTCTAAAAAGTAAAATCGTGTAGCCCTTTCCACTGCCAAGGCCGAGTACGTTGCGGCTGGTGCATGTTGTGCCCAACTACTTTAGATAAGGCAAACTCTTTGTGATTTCGGATGTCATTTTACCAAAATCCCATTATTATGTGACAATGAGAGTGCCATTAAGCTTGCAAACAATCTCATAAGCCACTCTAGAACCAAGCACATAGACACTCGTCATCATTTCTTGAGAGACCACGAAACCAAAGGAGATATCGAAATTCGCCATGTGAGCATCGAAAAGCAACTAGCCGATATCTTCACAAAGCCGTCGACGAGTCAAGGTTTTATGCTTTGCGTAGTGAGCTAAATATACTTGATTCTTGTAACGTGGTTTGAATTTTAGCATGCCTCTGTTTGATAAACTAGCATCTAGGCAAAAGAGTTGAAAATTTTTATATTGTGCATGAAAATGATTTATAAAAGGCAACTTATGTATCATGATCATGGTCTGTATTGATTATTTGTTTCTGGTCATGTTATATAGGTGATATGTGTCCATATCTTATACAGAGAGAGTCATATAGATTATAGCTAACTCTTATTGTTTTGGGGAGTGCGGCAGTGCCGGGCTAGGCATGCGGTAGTGCCGTACTTTGAATCTCAATTGAGATTTGGCCCAAACGGTTTTACTGTGGGGCCCATTTATTCTTCCTCTTATTCTCAGGTCCGCAATAACTTCTTTCCCTCTCTCTTCACCCCGACGCTGACGCCCGCGCCTCTCTCTCCTCTCACGCCCACACCGTCGCTGTCACTTGGCCGCGCGTTGCCGGTCTCTGGTAGTGCCGCGACAGCTGCCAGCCCTCCCTCAATGTTGTTGTCGGCTGCTACTGCCCCTAGCCCAAGCAGTTTCTTCCCTCTCCTCTCCAATCCTCGTTTGAGAAGGTAGAACCCTAAACCTACTCGATCTATGCAATGTGAGTGTTTCTGTGATGGATTTGGGTTCTTAGTGGTACTATGAATGAGTAGGAGGGAGATTTGATGGACAAATTGAATCAATAGGTCAATTCATTTGGGGGCGGTGCACAGCACGTGCGGTAGTGCCATGGTAAGGTGCGGTAGTACCACACCCCGCAGTTTGAGACTGCGTCTGGTTGTGACTTTCCCTAGATGAATCGATGTATTGGTTGGATTTATTCACCACATGCTCTCTCCCACTCAAAATGTTATCACTATTCCCATCTATTACATGACATCACGTGTTTTTATCTTGAACTATGCTCTGAAAATTGTTTGGTGATGTGGGAAGATTTGAAAAATGGATTTGCTAAGAAAGAAGAAGGAGGTCATGAGCTTGTGGAGATACTGAGTGCGGCAGTGTCGCACTGCCTGGGCAGCACTGTCCATAGTGTCTCTCAAGTTCATGATCTAAGTCCTTTTTCTTATCAAGACTATTTTTCAAGTGATTTTCTATGTCCCATTTGTACAGTTTCTTAACTAGTTCATTCTATGCATAGATGGAGCACGGAGATAGTGACCGAAGGGGGAAAAGGAAGATGAATGAGCAAAGAGACAAGGATCCACCTCGCCGTGGACGAGGGAGATCAACAGCAGCAGACAGTAGTGCAGCTCCAAGGGGACTTGGTGATAGGGTGAGGCGCGAGCAATACATTGAAGATGAGGAGAGGCTGGAGATGACAGGTCGTACCACTGATGCCATTCCTGACACCCCACAGCATCTCTCTGAGTTTGATGGCAGATACATGAGAGATTTTGAGGGTGAGATCATCATGAGACCTCCAGATGACTCCCGCCAGCATGCAGTTGTCAACTATTTCAAGAGTTGGAAGCTGGTGGAAAAGGCAAGGGAGATCAATCCCTATGCAGTGCGCAAGGATTTAGGCATTGATTACAGATTCTGGAATGAGTTTCATTCCAACTTTTATGCCACTGCCATTCTTGTATCTAAGAAAACCAAGATCATCAAGATACAATATATTGATTGGGATGAGATGCAGGAGAAGGAGGAGCCTAAGTTTAACAAGGTAATCAAAATTTATGATAGGTTCCAGCTTTCAGACATCATGGGTTTCTAGTATAACTGGAATGAGGAGGTCCTTGCACAGTTTCATGCCACATATTTCTATGACCAGACCTCTGATGAGATTCACTGGATGACTGATGGTCGGCACTACCGAGTCGACTTTGTCACTTTCAGTCGGATTCTTGGCTTTGGGGAAGAGCACAGAGGTTACACTTACATTCATGATGAGCCTCGAGCTGAGATCCATGACATCAGTTACATGTGGAGAGATAGAAGGATTGCAGATGGCAAGAGGAGTGGTCTACACAGCTTCTATTACATCTTCAACAACCTCATCAACCCAAAAGATGGAGAAGCCTCAGATATTAATGGCTATGTGAGAAATGTGTTGGCTAGATTTGCTCCAGGTTGGGACAGGTTCAATGTCCCTAGATTCATGTGGACTGAGTTAAGATTTGCAGTGGAGGATGGGAGGAGGGGGCTGCCCTATGCCCCTTACCTCATGTTCATGATTGAGAGGGTCACTGGATTTTATTTTCTGAAGGATGAGATGTACACCGTCTACAAAATTGAGAAGACCCAGCCAACTGCAGCTACTCAAGGAGCGGGAGCTCTCATGCTCATGTAGATATCCCTGAGTCTTTTCGCTCTAGGTCTCGCAGAGGAGGCAAGATGAAGAAGTTTGGCAAGTGGTTGAAAGCAATCTTTGGTAAGTGCACCTATGCAGCTGACAGAGCATATGAGACACAGCTTGAGCAACGTCAGCAGCGTGGACAGGACCTTCCACCACTTCCTCCTATTCCACCTCCTTCACAGTATGACCTTCCGAGTCTCTCCGATACAAATTCAGATGATGAGGATGATGATGATGATGAGGAGGAGCAGCAGGGACAAGCAGCAGATTGGGATGAGACCCTGGAGGGATACTATCAAAGATGGGAGCCGAGGCATTCCACTCGCTACACCGCCATCACCTCTCCCTTCTCCTTGGCCTTAACGTCGTGCAGTGCACAGAACATCGCCATTAGGAGAGTGGCCTCATCATCATCATCAGCCTGCGCCAAATGAGCCTCAGCCTTCTTCTCCAGCTTATGATTTGTGCACTTTGCCCAATGGCCTGTCTTCCCGCAGTACGCTAGGCGTTGGGGTCGACCTTCTTCTTCTTTGAAGAAGCCTGCTGCGGCGCTTGCCATCGCCACCGTGGCTGGGGGAGGCTTCCTCGGACTTTTTCTCCTTCATCCGAGCAGCCCACTCCTCCTCTGTCAGCAACAGCTTGTCGCTGTCTGTCATTGTTGTGGCCTGCTCTATGCGCTCGTCCACCGCCCACAGACGGTCTGTCACATCCTCAATGGTGAGGGTGGATAGGTCCAGCATCGTCTCTATGGAGAGAGCGATCTGGATGTACTTCACCGCACAAAGTGTAAGTACTTAGAGACCACCTCTTCTTCGTCGATGGTGACACCGTGGCTTCCCAGCTTGCTGATGAACGACTGTAGGCGGAGGGAGAAGTCCTCCACCGACTCACCATCCTTGAACTTGAGGTTGACGTACTCCTGCTTCAGCAGCTAGGCCGTCGCCTTCTTTACGCGATCAGAGCCGACGCGCATCGCTGCAATGACCTCCCACGCCTCTTTAGCAGACTTCTTCGCCCCCAACGGCTCCCGGTACTCCGCAGGCACAGCAGCGAGGATGGCCTCCAGCGCTAACATGTCATCTTCTTCTATGTCAGTGCCCTTGTCAATGGCGTTCCAGAGCCGTCGGGCTCTGAGCTTGACCTTCATGGTCACCGCCCACTCGCCATAGTTGGTGCGAGTCAGCTGTGGCCAAGTAGTGCCGCTGACCTCGCGCACCGGGCGCACAACGACCTCCTGTCGTGGCTGGGCAACCCCAACAACACTGCCGCCTCCCGTAGCTCCACTGTTGTCGCCCGTCTCCGAGCCAGGTGCATCGCTGGCGATGCAGGCGAACCTGTATGGCTCCGATGCCACTTGTTGGTCCCTCACTACCTTGCACAGGTAAGCAGTAAGCTTACCAGCACACACACTCACTCACTATGGCTAGAGGTAGAAGAAAGGGTGAGCACAGGCACACACACGGTACAAGCACCAGCGTTGGTCAGAGCTCTACTCTTTTGGTTTGTGGCAACTAAACTGCCTGTTTTTATTGCATAGAGTTAGAGTATATACAACCCATGTACCAACTATAAGGTACACATGAGCATGGCTAAGCACAGCCCCAACTACTCCTAGTACTAGCGGTACAATTCTTACCTCAACCCACTACCAAAACATGGCTGATGTATTAGCTACCAACTAATGTACCATTGGTGGCCTATTACCCTACTGCTATAGCAACTAGGACATCAGAGAATGACATATTGCTAAATCTGCTATGCAGCAAACAAAGAGCCAGAGGTCAGCAGCAGATTATGTCTTCCAGTGCCGCAGCATGAAGCACGAAAAAACCATCACGGGCAGAAACAGAGGAGACGCATGCCAAGCTGAGAAGTGAGAACCTTCACCACAAGCTCACAAACCAGAGTCACAACTCACAAGAATGGACCATTAAGAATGAAAATTCTCACATTGACATCACTACCGCGTATACACAGACAACCAGAAAGCCAGTGCCCGCAAGCAATAAACAAGAGTGCCGCTAGAAACCTGAAGCTACTACTCACCAATGCAATAGGGAAAGAATGAGCGGACGTAAACAACATGAGACAATATACAAGCACAAAAGAATCGCGAAATCATGTATCGTGGCTCATAAGAGAACTCTGATGTGCTGCGCTGTACTGCAGGGGGCAGCCATTCACAGCGCTCAGAGCCCTCTGAAAGCATCGATGGACAGCAGCTTCCTGTTCATGGCGGGAGGTGCCAGCCCCGGAATGTCTCTGATGTTCTTGTTATGTGGGTTGACAATCTGTGAGAAAGAAGGGTAATTGGTTATTGGTTATGCAGTGTAGGAAACCAGCAGATGGTCTACGATTCTCATTAGGAACTAAGCTGATAATGGCTTATGTCGGGAGAAAAAGAATAGATAGGGTTTCAAAACAAACACAAAATCGGTATGATTGAGTGCACTAAGGCCTGACGTGCATCATCATTCTCAGTCATCACTATGTTTGTTCAAGTTGTTAGCACTAGACCCTAAAGAACTAAGGTAAAGTTGCCCAACTTTAGTTCCTATAATTTAAGGAAAACTTTCTGAAAATTATCCAATGAAGTTTTCTCAAATTGTCTTTGATATTTCATTCCAACAGAAGATTCTATGGGAAAGTTAGATAGGAGCCACAACTGACCCAACCACATGGATTTTCACTCCCGAAGGTGTTGACTATACATGTGGAGATTCTGTTCCTAAACTGGACACCAAGCATAGCTAATCCTATTTAGGCACAAAAGAAATACAATGCTACCTTCACAGAGTCAGCAACATACCTTAACAACAATTATTGTAATAACACCACAGACAATCAGAAACAGGAACGCCATAATGCATTTGTCAGTAGCAACCTGAAATGGAAAATCTTGTTAATTCAGCCACATAAGAGTAACCAAAAAAAAAACATTTGAGTGCTAGAGAGCGAGGGAGAACCTGACGGCCAATCTCTTTCACCATTTGACTAGCCTTCTTCAGTGAAAAGTGGACAGAATCTAGCTCATTGCCTATTCTCTTCATTTGTTCTGTCTGAAAAAATGATGAAATGATATTCAGAAAACAATCACACGAACATATGGATGCTGTCATGTTGACCTTGGGAAACAACTTATACAGGTAAAATGCAACTTCAACATGTAACAGATCGAGAAATCAGATTCTAGATATTAACTGTTTATTGCATATAGAACATCTACTCTGCCTTTACAAACATATCCAGTTCCTGAAGCATACTAATATAAAAGGAGAAGCTACATTTGCTCTGGAAAGTGTCGAGATTGATTGATATTTATTCCTAAGAAAAATGGAATCTCAAGGTACTTTGTTCTTTGGTCTAAAGAAATCTTTGTGAACATTCAAATGGAAAATGTAGCAGGATTTTTTTAGTCCTTCAATCGAGTTGTGTAGTGCACAGATTGTGGTTGAACTATCTTTTTTAGAATACTACAGCAGTGTCTCAAGTAAATAGACAGCCAAACTTTGATTAACATTATGTCAAATAGTAGTGTGAGACAATTATTGTGGATCTAATTGAAGCCCTCTGGGTTTTGTCCATTCTCAAATATATTCAAGACTGAGTGACTGACACTCAGTGGGACAGAGCAGTGAACCATTTACAGGTAAAGTAAAGCATACAAATCTATTGTCAGATGAATGCAGATAAGGGGAAAGAAGGATTGTGACAGAGAGAGAGAGAGAGAGAGAGAGAGAGACAAGCATCACTATAATAGTTTATGGCCTTATCCAATTAAGTATGGAAGTTTTGTGATCAGTAAGCCCCAGTAGAGCTTAGCCAAAACTTGATGGAAAAAATTAGTTGTAAACAAACAGGTTATATCACCATTCACGAAAACTTACTTGCTGTGACAGAGTTGCAGCAGTCTGAGCTCCAACTTCAACAGTTTGTGCTACAACCTACAAGAAAATGGTTCCTTTAAAATCCATTATGGAAGAGCTGAAGTTTATTGTTCCTTTCTTCTGTTTTATGGAGGCTACCCGAGTATATTGATTTGAGGAATATTTTGTGCTCTTTAAGCAATAGCAGAATTCTGCTTGATGGTTGAAAAAGAAAACAAAAGGGTGTATGTTAGTTGCACACCATTTTTGAGCGCTCAATGGCTTGGTCAGTTTGGTCCATTTGTTTCCTTCCAGCGCTAACGAGTTCTTGATTTGACATTTCTGTAAAACCATCCAGGTACATTAGTGAGAAAATTAACACCTATGATGTTTGAAGAGGATATTGTTAGAAATATTAGAAGCTACTGATGACCACCTGATGCCATTTGAACTGGAGTTTCGTCAGCCACTTGGTCGTTACCAGTATCGAATAGTTCGATCCTCTTATTACCAAGGCTACTCTGGTACCTGAAACACCAAAAAAGATGCAGTGGATACAACATCTTAACATGAAGTGTATTGCAACAGAGCAAACAATGCTGCCGGCATAAATTTGCAAATAAGGGATTCAATGTAGAATGCTTCAACCCTGAGGGCACGATAAATAGAATAGAAAAAGGAAAGGCTTATACTTACGTTTTCCTCAAGGTTACAAAGGAGTTGAGTTCTTTGATCTGTAATAGCACACAAGAAACAAAATTATACCCGTGTCCAAAAACAACAAATAACAAAAGCCAAATGGGAAGGAAAAACAAGTACCAACCATGAACTGCTTCTTGTCATTGAGCTGCTTGTTGACATCAGGAGTGTTCTTTTTCTCCTCATCCTTGAGTATACGGTCAAATTCTTTGATCAAGCTGCAAGAGATACCAGCGCATTTTATTTTAGCTAACTAAAGAGTCTCAGGGCGCTTTCATGTTGAGTAGAAAAGAGGATATGAAGTCTCTGATTCGAGTCAAGAATAGCAATGCGACGTATAGTATAGGTGGGGAAAGCTAAATCTGGGTGAGGTACGCGTTTTAGCTTAAAAAACACAGGGCATGAGTTGAGGCAGACGTACCGCTTGCACTCTCTCATCTTGCCGGTGAGATCCTCCAGCTGCTTGGACTGCCTGCTGGAGTCCTTGATCTTGTCCATCTTCTGGAACCCATTCCTGGAGCAAGCAGTGCGAGACGGAGGAATTAAGACTTGGTGTGCAGCAGAGCAGGACGTAGGAAGCAGCAGGGGAGTAGGAGCTGTATATAAAGGAACTGGCTGCGACTGGAGCAGGAGCCGGCGAAATCCGGGCGACGCCGCGAAGGCGGGAGAAGCATCTCCTCAGTCTAGTCCAGTCTAGCCGCGCGACCGAATCCGAGACCGAGAGGGCGGTGAGAAGCGCATTGGTGGAAGAAGAGGGGTGAAGAGAGGGAGGGAGAGGGATCTGACTCACTGGAGCGCGCGGAAGATGTCCTGGATCTCGCCGTCCACCTGCTCGAGCTCGGGGCTCATGGGCACGTCGCTCGCCATGGCTGGCTGGCTGGATCCCCTCCTCTACCCGGTGGCCTGTTGGTCGCAGCGGCGGCGGCGGCGGCGGCGGCGGCGGCTCCTCTGTCTTGTCCGGTGCGGTGCGGTTCCCTCACCCCGCCATTCCGGTGGCGGCGGTTGGACTCGGCGTGGCTGGCGTTGAGAGGAAAGGAAAGCAAGCAGCGGGCGGTGGTTCGGTTTGTTTGGTGGGAAGGCGAGCCGTTGCTGAGCTGGGTCCGTCCGGGCCGGGGCCGAGCTGTGGTCCCGTCCCGTTCCCGTTCCCACCCACGCGCGTGAGCTGGGCCTGGGAGGACTGAGCTCGCACGCAACGCAAGTCGTAGGCGTACCTTTTTCGTTCTCTTGTGATCAAATCAAAGGCCTGGTTTAGATACCCTCAAAATTTCAAGTTTTTTCACTCTCTCTTCATCGCATCAATTTTTAGCCGTTTGTATAGAGCATTAAATATATGTAAAAAAAATAATTAATTGCACAGTTTAGTTAGAAATCACGAGATGAATCTTTTGAGCTTAGTTGGTCCACGATTGGACAATATTTACCAAATAAGACGAAAATGCTACTATTCATCGGGTTGAAAATTTTTTCAATCTAAACAAGGCCAAAGTTTGATTGAAAAGTGAAAATGGAGGTGACAATTTGCAAAGTTTACGACATGTCTTGGCCAGAAATCTGTTCATTTACTAGTAGCAAATAAAAAGTGGAACGGCATGAATTTGAAGGGAATGCGGGATTTTCTGTGGGGAACGCCTGGAACGATGATGATCGCATCAGGGATGGTTTTGAAATTTCTTATGTTTCTTTTGCCACAATTGCAATACAACAGATGATAGGTGGCATGCGCTGTCATGAGCCCACACTTCCGTGGAGGTGAATGGGCCGGTGATAGGACAACTGACTAACAAAGCGATCCGATCCCAAATCCAATCCAGCTGCTCCGGGCGATTGGGCCGGTGCGGCTTGAGAATCGGCCCTCCTGTCCAACTGCGGCGATCGGGCCCGATCAATCAGGCAGAAGCGGCCCAAATATCGATGAGATCTAATTATCTCTAGTTTAAAATTGATGGTTTCTATATTAAAAAAATGTCTGGATCAAAAGTTATATATATATTATTATTAGTAAAAACATACATCTTCTGTCGCCAGCTAAAACGACGAGATGTAATTATCTCTAGTTTATTAACTGGTGATCTATCGAAATATTTCGCCACCTGCACTACTAGCAGTGACTTCTCATCCCCGGTCGTCACAACGAAATGAAAGAAAGTAAGAAAAAAAAAATCGCTGCTTCGCGAACCATGCGAGGAACGAGGAGGACAAGGCGAAGATGGATGCGGATGCCCAAAGGATTTCTACTCTTCCCTTTTCCCACCTGTTGAGCAGAGCAGGCTCTTTCTTCAACCTCCTCTCCTGCCGGGGAAGCAGAGCACGGCAGAGAAGGAGCGAAGAGAAGGAAGGAAAACAGACGATTCATTGATTCAATCAAACATAGGAAGCAGGTTATTTATAGATAACGACACAATAATGTAGCATTCCACGTCATCTCCAATTGCAATTTGGACTTGTCCATGATGCATCTATCTGCCTGAATTAATTAAATAAATAAATAAAATCATGGTACTCTAGTCTCTGTCCAGGAGTGATATATCAATCCAATTATATTAATTAAATAGTCATCCATCCACGTACCATGCATTCATAATCATAAGCTTTATCCATCCATCCGCCGCGTAAGCTTTTATCGTGCACATGCATCAACTAGGTAAGTTTTTTTTTTTCTACTAGATGATGCCATGCACATGCTTATTAACGTTGCCTGTCGATCCAAACGCGGCCTTAGCTTGTTCCGGTGGAACAACGAATCGGATGGGAAGCATGTTGCCCCTATCGATCCACACTTCCTGTTCGTTTGAGCTGGTTTGGCTTATAAGTCATGACTAAAAGTACTATTGGCTGATTTGGTGTGAGAAAAAAATATTGTTCGTTGGCTGATAAGCCATGACTTGTAAGCCAAATATGACCGAGCGAACAGTTGATTCCGTGATTCCTACCTTTCGGCATTGGACCACGATAGGATACCTGTCCTGCTCTGCACATCCAAGCGCGGAAGCGCCCAACGCACGCAACCCATGCAAATCGCACTAGAATGAACTCCTCTCTCATCGCATTTCGCGTAATCGCATCCCAGCTACGAGTAGTTTCTTTTCTTTTCTTTTCTTCCTCTAAAAAAAAAAGATTTTTTTTTGTCTGTGGACTGTGGGCACAAAAGAACAGGCACGTCAGCTTGCCTGCATTTCACGCACGTCATCTCTCTCTCTCTGATAGTAATCCAGGTCTCAGCCATGATTGATCTCCTAATTATTCAATAATAATCAGTACACGTACTGCGGTCTGCGGCCAGCACAGTCGCATGCAACTCACAAGAGGGACTAAGCTCGCTCCAGTCCGCCGCCGCGTGGCTGGCTCCGGCGACCGACCGGCGACGCGTCGGAGTCGGACAAGAGATTCCGACCCATCTATCCGCGCGCCTCTGCTCCGAGTCTCCGACCCACTGCACAAGGACGCGCGGGTAGGCGGCCCCGGAATCAGATCGTCTGACGTCGGGCTCCTCGACTGCACTCGGCAGTCGCTCGATCCGTGCCGTTCCCTGGCATCCAAGCGTCCAGCTCGTTCTGCTTTTATTTTTTGAGCAAATCCAGCTCGTTCTGCTCGCACCAGGTGATACAAACACCAGTCCAGTATCCCATCTAAGCCCACGAGACCAGAACACCGCGCAAGAACACGCGGCGTTGGGCTGATGTCTTCCACGGCGAGCTGGCCGCGCCGCCGCCGCCGTTTCCTGCACAGCCGGTTTTTAATCTCTCGAGCTATGCAAGCGAAGACTGCACGTCAACGTCAAGTCATCAAGAGCGTCGCAAGGTGCTGCAGCTTCTCCTGGCGTTGCTGCTATATGTCAGGGGCAACAACTGTGGCTTCTAACTGAGACGTCAAAACACAACACACACCTTGGCCAATATGGTAATGAGTATCTGGAAGCAAGGTGGGGAACGCTGGCCACGCGTGTGCGCCATGGGGCAAAAACATCAGCCGCAAGCGCTATAGAAGGGAAGCGGAGCGCCGGCGAGCTGTGGTGGCCTAGCGTGGAGAGGAGCGCCGATCTGCAAGGAAAACAGAGAAGGCGCCTCCTGAAATGAGCTACGATGATCTGTAGTGGCCCCGTTCGGCTTACCCTATATCCGGCTTATTCAGTTTTTTTTTTCAGCTGGAATAATGTTTTTCTTTCACAACAATTCAGCCAGAACAGTATTTTTCATCCGGTTTCAGCTAAAATTCAGCAAGCCGAACGGGACCCTTCACTGAAATGACACAGAAACACTTTTGCAAACAAGACATGGTAATTATGGAACAATATGTACATCCAGTCATTCACTTGGGCAATTCAGTGATCACATTCTCAAATTTCTAGTCACAGTATCACTTTACAATCTCATAATCCTATCTAACAACTCTGTTCTGAAGTTTCAGCTCTGTTATTTACATTGTTGGGACATCTGAACAGCCTGACGAGCAGAACTGCAGAACCACGGCTGCCCTTCCCTTGGAATCCAGAAGCACATGGAGAAGGATGGAACGCGGGTGGTGGTTGTTGCATCTGTATTCCACACTGATTCTGATTGCTACCATCGGTACCTCCCAGCGCTGAGCGATCGGAGGCGAAGAACAATGTATGACCACGCAACGGCGATGAACTTAGCCAGAATGGCGGCGGCGGCGCTAATCGCATCCCGCTACGGTACGGAAGCGAAGCACTCGGCAACAAGTGGTGCCATGGCGCACGGATGGGTAAAAGGCAGGGCGGCAAAGCGTCAGTGAACCAGAGGCCGGGACTCGACGAGCTGTGGAGAGCGTGGGCTGTAGTTGGGCCGGACCAGTAGCCTGTGAGCGCATAAATTGGTGGCCAATGCTCGCAGACGTCCGATCCTCAGTTGACGGCACAGATAGTGTGACTGCAGAACGCAGTCGTTTCACGTGAAGTTAGACGATCTCGTTCCGGCGGCCCCATGGCTCGTACCAGCTGTTCGAGCAGATGTGCCTCTGGGCTCTCCACGTCACCGCTAGCCCGTGGGACCAGCTAGCCAATAATTCCGTGGCCCAGGGCTGAGGCGACCTGGCTGCAAACCCTCATCTGAAAGCAATGTGATTTGATTTGATGGAGGGCTTCCTTCATGTCTTCTCAAACCCTTCCCCTACCCTTCCTTGTCGTGTTGTTGTCTGCTTCCTGCCCTGCCCTGCCTGCCTTGGTTTCCCATAATGGCTGCACACACAGCAGTTAGCAGTTTAGCACTCCACCCATTTATTTCTTCTTCGGGTTATATGGAAAAAAATTACAATTTGAGACGTACATAGTCCAACGCTATCCCATCTTTAGGTGCACACCGTATATGCAAAAACAGATCCATGAGCTGATGAGCATGAGCTGTGTCTGCTCAAGAACCATGATGCGGTTCCATCATCCCGTTTGCAGCTAGTAACCTGCGTTGGATTATTACTACTCCAACTGTACGTATTTATATGCATAGGCATAACCCGTGGAGGTTGTATTCTCCTTCGTTAATTAGAACTAATAACGTGGTGGTGCTTTATCCTTGTCTAATTACTCGACGACAGTGAAGTGGAATTAATTGTGATGTTTCTATCATCGAACAATATGGATGTACTCCTCTAGAGGCTACAGTTCTTCTACGTCGCATGGAAACCAAGATATATCTCTTTGTGGGATGATTGGTTTTATTATAGTGGGATTTTGCTATGTACTCCGGTTACCTCGTTAGAGTATCAGCAAGTCACAACCCTTATTATTTATAGAATACATAAAGAATTTTGAACTATCTTTGACGGTAACCCTACAGGGAAGATAAATAACCTGACGATTATTGAGGGTATTCAAAACCTGACGATACTACAATATTCTATCAACCCACTGTAAAAAAAAATTACCGTCAGAGATGGAGTTTCTGTCTAAAAATTCATAGGCAAAAATATATTTCTCTGTCGATCTATCCTCGATGGAATTTGCTTGTTGGTTGCCCAACATAATTGATTTATTTGATAGTTTTTCCTTTTTTTTCTCTTGAAGTTTTTTGTGCACATAGGGATAGTGCGGTTTTCCAATAGTGGTATGACAGTTTTGAAATTGCCATTTAGTTTTTGTTGTTGGATACTGTAGTTGCTAATCTAACGCATTCATATAATCATATGGAGGCAATTGTTTCTTCTTATGTGTCTTTGGATTTGCTAGCAGTGGCTAACTGATGATCTTTTTTATAGCTATGTATAGTACAATGGATTTAATTACCATATTGGTGTCAACTGAAAGTTTGGACCGTTGCATTTGAAACAGAAAATGCAGGTTATTGTTATTCGGAGACATATTTTATTTGAGATTGTTGCTTGAAAACTATTTATGCTAGTTTCTAGGTTATTTTCCGTGCCATTGTATCAAGGGGAAAATAAATAGATGATTAGTTTGGTGTTGGTATGCCACCATGGAAATATTTTTCTTCTACGGTTTCTGGATAGCGACAAATATCACACCATGCGTGATAGCAATTGGAAATCTCCTTCTAATGGCTTCCGCATTTTAAGATGTAAATTTTCAGAAACGCCTATTCACCCCCTCTAGGCCACATCCTCGATCATTTCACAAATTAAATATCAATCCATTTAAGATAAACATCATATAGATCTTTGTCTCAAAGGGATAGAGCACAGTAGGTTGTTGTTGTTTTAATTGTTCATTATTAATCAACTGTGGCCAGTACTCGATGTGATGCATCTGCTTACCTAATTCGATGATAGTGAACAAGACTTGAGTGAGATGTGTTCGCCATCATAGGACACACACATATAAGACTTGAGTGAGACTTGTGTGCCTGTTCGCTTGGTCGTATTTGGCTTTATAAGCCATGGCTTATCAGCCAACGAACAATATTTTTCTCTCACATCAAATCAGCCAACAGTTATTTCAGCCATGGCTTATAAGCCAAACAAACCCGAACGAACATGGATCTATCTCCATTGTACTTTCAGCCAAGGTGCGGTATGTCTGGAACTCTACAGAACCATAAAGATGAACTTGTGGTCTTGCTCATGTGCTCTATGGTTGGAGATCTATCTCTTCGCGTGGAGGCCGCTGTCATTAGGTACAGCACACAACCTCCGAATCATTTTAATTTACTTTCGCAGAGATCAGATGATAGATTCTATCAGGGCACCATCTTTATCTGCACTCAAATTTAACCATGCATGGATTCCACGGAGAAGATTATTGTGGCTCAAATTCCTCCCAGAGTAACTGTCTCAGCTCACAGCAGAGGACAAAGGACAAAGGAGACAACTCTATCTAATCCTCGCTCTCCAGTGAGAAACTAAACTAGACCATCTGATGACCATGCATGTATTGCACCAGAAGCAAGGCAACTAGTCGTTTTGTAAGATTTTTTTGTTATATGAGCAATGGCTTTGTGGTGTGTATCCAGCCATGGATCCTGTCCACTAGTTGCCTAAAATGAATCGTCTGGCACTCCTTTATTCTCCTGGTAGCTAGCGCGACGCTAGTGCCACTACACCGGAAATTCTCCCAGACACAAGTCGTGGTCGTCGGTGAACGGCGACGGCGACGGCGACGACAGCGGCGTCCTCCAGATCTTAACCGTCCCTAGCCTAGCTAGCTGTGGCCGGGATTAATTAGCACTGATGCACCACTCTTTGCTAGCTTAATCTACTACTACCACCGTTCCATCTTTAACAGAAACTCGTATGGAAATTCCTGTCAGAAGTCGTTTAGAATCACAGATGTCAAAAATTTCAACACCAGCAGGACACCCTTTTCCGGCGAATTTTGGCGAAAGTCCTGAGATTGTTTGCTGAAAGCACATGATATGATTCAGTCAAGTCGCCTGGTTCTGTTCTGCGCCTGCCGTGCTGGCGGTGTGATTAGCATGGGGATCTATTCCGGAATCCTCGTGGATAGGCTAAGCAAAGTGTCTGCTGCTCCTCTCCTCTCCCTGCATGCAGCGCTTCAACGGAACGGATTCGGATGCTGTCCACACAAACCGCTACACCTTCTGACAGGTGGGCCTAGCCAGGTCACGAGGTAACCGGCCACACCGGCCAGCGGGCCCCACCACAGATCCCTTCTCCGCCTCCGGCCGGCAGCCTTTATAAGCGCAAGCGCGGCTCCGCCATTTTGGTTCCACTCCGTGCGCCTTGGTAGTGTGTCCTCGCTCGTGCAGCTTTGATTGGGCGCCTCGCTCGCTGGCTAATCCCAGTTCCCACCGGTGAGGCGGTGACTGCGGCGGTTGCCGGCTGATAGAGTTGGCGCGGAGTGTGGGTGATGGCGTCGGAGCCGGTGGCGCGGGCGGTGGCGGAGGAGGTGGGGCGGTGGGGGAGCATGAAGCAGACGGGGGTGAGTCTGCGGTACATGATGGAGTTCGGCTCCCGCCCCACCCCGCGCAACCTGCTCCTCTCCGCGCAGTTCCTGCACAAGGAGCTCCCCATCCGCTTCGCGCGCCGCGCGCTCGAGCTCGAGTCGCTGCCCTTCGGCCTCTCCAACAAGCCCGCCATCCTCAAGGTCCGCCTCGCTCGATGCCTCCCACGCTTCTCCCTGTCTCTGTCTCTGTCTCTGGTCTCTGTCTCTCAGAATTGATTTGGTTAGTTTTTACTCGGTACGTGTGTTTGATTGGGTGGCCATTCCCTTGTCGTGATTGTTAATTTGTCCTTGTTGCCCAGCTGGTGAATCCACAGGTTTGGCGCACCTCAGTTCATGATTCATCTGGGGTGGTCTTTCTTTTACATGAGATTCATTTGGGGTGTTTTTTTAAAAAAAAAACTCGGCGGACAGACAGCCCAGCAGTTTTTGCGTGCAGAAAGAAGACCTCTCAGAGAAAACCCCGAACCCTAAGTCCCGCCCTCACAAAGGGCCTATAACCCATGAGTGGACCAGAACTTTTTTACCTGTGCTTAGGGTTGAAACCTTTTTAGCTATGCTTTGGGACGAGGACAGGTGAAGGTTTTTTTTTTCGTAAACTGCGCATTACCACAGCTATGCCTGAGGCAGCCGGAGTCGAACTCCCGACCGGGGCCTTCCCACGATGGGGACGGAACCACTCGAGCTAACGCTCGCTCGCCTTTTTTTTTTTACAGACTGATACGTATCTTTACTATTTGCCCCGCTGTGATTAGCTTTTGGTTTAGTTCCTAATGAACTGAAGCAGATATTAGCTTTTGGTTTACTTCCTAATTAACTGAAGCAGATAGGGATCCTTAGCAGGATTTTAGTTCCGAATAATCCTGAAGAGGTGCTTCATTTATGGGTAGATGCTGCTTCTTTTTCCTTTTTGTTTGCAGGTCTGTTTCTTTCTATTCCACTCGTGGTCCAAACAGTCACTCTCATAGCCTCATAGTATCTCATTCTAATTTGCCACTCGTTGATTTTAGCTTCGATTCCTTGTTCTTACGAAATTATAGTTGCATGTGTTGTAGGAACAATAAAAAGTTGTGATAAGAAGGAATCATTAATTCCTCCTTTTGTAAAAGTAAATTTTGAGAGATTCTTGCTTGCTGACTTGCTTACATTTTTTTCGGTGATGAGTGGGGCTCTTCACCTCCTTTATCTAACTTCGTCAACGCAATATCTCAAGTCAGCAAAGAATGTGTATTTTATTAAGTCAGCAAAGAATGTGTATTTTATTAGTAAGGGATATTTCGTTAACTAGCTAGATGAATATTATTACCGATGTGACCATTCTGCTGTGGGAGTGGGACTGATGTTTGGTCTGTTAACCATTTCTTATTTGTTAATTAAGGTGCGGGATTGGTACTTGGACTCATTCCGCGACATCAGATACTTCCCTGAAGTGAGGAGCCGGAACGACGAGCTCGCTTTCACACAGATGATCAATATGGTCAAAATGCGGCACAATAATGTGGTTCCAACAATGGCTTTGGGAGTGCAGCAGCTGAAGAAGGAACTGGGCCACTCAAGGAAGGTTCCCTTTGAATTCGATGATCAGATCCACGAGTTCCTTGATCGATTCTACATGTCAAGGATTGGCATCCGCATGCTGATAGGTTCGCAACCTTCAAACTGTTTTGTCAGGAGCTTAATTTATGAAGGGTAAAATCTACTGCCAACTTTGTTCTTGGCCAGTTTAGTTCTTGGATATGCTATGGTAAATATTCTCTTATATGCTATTTCTTTTTATAACAGTTACTGTACTAACATATACTAATTTTTTCCCTGAAAGCAGTATAGTAACATATCCAAAAGTTCACTGTAAATCTATCAAACTGAGCACACTTTTTGGCCTCATTTATATGTTGCTAAACTATACTTTGGGATTTTTGGTCATGTAAAATATGATATGGTTTTAACTGAAACTGCATCTTCATGGCCCCATGTGTGGGGCCTAAGTCAAATGATTAATGGAAAGTTGAGCGTCTGTTGCTATTAGATATGTGGCCTGAGTTATTTGGACTTGATTAATTTCAGGGCAGCATGTGGCTTTGCATGATCCTCAACCCTCTGGTGTCATAGGCCTCATTAATACAAGATTATCCCCAATACAGGTGGCTCAAGCTGCTTGTGAAGATGCCCGTGCTATATGTTTAAGGGAATATGGATCAGCTCCTGATATTAACATTTATGGTGATCCAAATTTTACATTTCCGTAAGTCCTGTAATATCTCGTAAGTTACCTTTATGGACTTGGATCTTTAGCGACGGTATCATTTTGTTTGCCAATGTGATGTCGTAAAATGTTTTCGGAATTCAATTTGGATGCCTCTTATAGATCACATAATTTGTTTGTGTACATTTTTATTGCCTCGTTATTTTGATCCTTTTAATTGGCTTACTCAAATTATGTGAAACAAAACAAATACAAAAACAAAACACTAGCTAACTTTTTGGCTTCATCAAATGCAGATATGTCACACATCACCTACATCTGATGTTATTTGAATTGGTGAAGAACTCTCTCCGTGCAGTGCAAGAACGCTATATGAATTCTGATAAAGATGTTCCTCCAGTTAGAATTATAGTTGCTGATGGAGAAGAGGATGTTACTATCAAGGTAGTAGTCTTTGTCATCACCTATCATGAATTGTTGGTAACATTCTAGCTACAGCTATTTATTAATGACAGTTGCAATTTGAAAATTTGTAAAGGCCAGCAAAACTTACGGAACTTCCACTGTCATTTGTCAAGTGCAATAGTATACTAATGAACTTAATGGAAATTTGCAAACTTCAGTAAATTTGATGGAACTTCCGTGGACATTTGCCACTGATATTTGATATTAGTTAACTGTAACTTAAATGAAGTCTGGTGCTACATATCACTCTTGATGTGGCAGAGACTATATGTAAACTGTAGCTAGTTTAAGTTTGTGGGTCAATACGATACTATGTATTTGCTGTAAGAAAACTAAATTGTGCACAAAGTGGTGCTGAAGTTTGAGTGCTCTTCTAACACAGGTTAGTGATGAAGGTGGCGGGATACCAAGAAGTGGCCTCCCAAGAATTTTCACGTATCTGTATAGCACTGCAAAGAATCCTCCTGAGCTAGATAGACCTAATGTCGGAGTAACTATGGCCGGATATGGTTTCGGGCTCCCAATCAGCCGGCTTTATGCTCGGTATTTTGGTGGCGACTTGCAAATCATCTCAATGGAAGGATACGGTATGGCCATATTTCACTTGATACAGTAAATAGCCAGTCAATCCAAGCGTTAAACAACTCAACCATGTTCTGCAGTCCGCACCAGAGTATCAGGCATCGGAACATAACTACTGTTTCTATCCGTCGTGTAGGTACCGATGCTTACCTCCACTTGTCACGGCTGGGAGATTCAGAGGAGCCCTTGCCTTGACGACATATTTCTGCTGTGCAACCCCGCCCCCCCCCCCCCTACCACTCTTCTCCTGTAATTATGCTGCTCTTCTTGTAATCCAGTGCTGGTCTGCGAATATTGTTCTAATAGGCCAGCCACCTATAGCTATAGTTGATCTCGATCTTATAGTCCCCTCGATTTCATCTTTCAGCTCTGCTGCATTGTGAACACAGCACTGCTACGTCCTGCTTACTTCTACCATGTAGTATGATCTCTCTGCTGGCTTTCAGAAAAAAAAAGTACGATCCCTCCGTGGGGTTTCAGAAAATAGTATGATCCCTCTGCCTCCCAGAAATCAGCATTGTAAATGGGGAGAAGCGCTCTGAACTGCGCCGATGAGCGTAAATCTGAGTTTATTCTCAATAGCTGCTAATTTCATAGCTGCATCTCTTGTTGTACAGTACATAGTCTGGATTTGGGCTTTGCTATGGTACTCCACAGTGACGGTGGATCATTGATCTTTATGGCAATCATCACATATTACCTTCTATACTACTCCCTCCGTTTCAAATTATAAGTCGCTTTGACTTTTTTGTTACATCCACTTTGATATGCATCTAGATATAATAATATGTCTAAATACATAGTAAAATGGATGAAAAAAAAAGTCAAAACGACTTATAATTTGGAACGGATGGAGTATGAGGTAATAGAAAAATATAAGAAAAACAGAAAAATGTCTCCCTACTAGATATGCATGATCTAGCTTTTCTATTTGTTTTAACGTGATATGTTGATGAGATTTAGAGTGTCATTATTCTGACCTGTTTTTTTTTTGTAACGTTGAAAAATCAAACTGTGATCTTGCTGTAACATTTTTCTAACATAGAAAAACTAACGTGGATTTTTTAATGGGAAAAAACTGGCATGATGAAAAAAACCTGACATGTGATTTTTGTTGTATGTTTTTTTATGTGGTCAGGCTAATGTGACAGTCACATCGAAGGGGGAAAATCATGTATGCAGCGTTGAAGTGACAAACGGAAGACTTGTTGATACGTTGTGCCTTCCTTCTATCTTAAAGTTCAAATGTCGCCTCTGGTTCTTGCCGTTGGTTGAAACCAGAAGGAAACAAATTGCATGTATGTACATACACGCAGATGGAGCACTTCTCCCTGAATTTTGCAGTCTTTACACTCGAGGTTCATCACACAAGCAACCAAGACCGACAGTTCAGACTGGGGCACCATTGGCTTGAACAACAGATTAAGCTCCGCCCTACTTGCTGCTGCACTGTGTGGTCAGTCTTAAGTCTTAACAGTGTTTACATTGTACCGGAGCCCAACACAAATTCAGAAGATCCCGTGATGGAGAAGCGCTGGAGACAGACAGGGATGTCTCAACCAACTTCAGTGCAGTGCCATTCACTTGATCACTTCCACAGATTGAGCTCTCTTGGTCTGCTGTGCTACCAGTCCTCTGCCTGGATCATGAATAAGCTCCGGTTTCCCAGCAGAGAGCCAAGCAAGTACGTTTTGGTAGCCAAAATGCAGTGTCACAGGCTCACACGCCTGGAACCTTTTGCTTTCCAGCAGGCAAGGCAGCAGCATGTTTTGGTTGCTGACAAGATCTGAACTCAGTCACTGCCTGTTAAGTTGTCTAAGAGAACATGAGTTCTGTCAGTCACTGAGCCGAGGACCCTCGCAGCCACGTGACGCGCACGTGCTGGAACTGGATAGAGCAGAACCTTCTATTCTCCTCCCGTGTGAGATTTGCATTGCAGGGTCGCAGCTGCACGCCTGCATCTGCAGAACATGTACTCCTAGACTAGAAAAATGACGCACGGACGGTTGCAACTTGCAATTCGCAGGCAAGCGCTCTCCCCGGCTGTCTGGGCTGCTGCAGAAGATCACACAAGCTGCCGTGGAAAGCGGAGGAGCCCCGGCAGAACCACGAGCGAAAGCGAAGCAAACCAGCAGCGAACGGCTTTCCGCTCTCCCTCACTCGGTTTAAGTTTAACCTTTGCACCTTGGATTAGCTAGCTTTCCGGGTTCTGCTGACTTTTTACGCGGCAGCTCCGGCTTTGTTTCGCTTTGCTTGTCCTCCCGTGACGCAAATTGTTCTTCTTCTGCTGCCGCCATCATGTGGTTGTTTATTGTTAAGTTAGCTTTAGGTTGGGTTATTTTTTTTCTTTCTCGAATATACAAAAGATTTGCGTACCATTGTATTAAAAAGAAGAGTTTAAACAAATAAACAAACATACAACACGCTTCTATCGAGCGCCGAAGAAGGTTAACCTAATACAGTTGAAGCTGGATCATCCTAGCAAAAGACCTATTGATTCGATATTACATAAAAGAAAACAACCAATATCGACGCAGCTTTGTGACCTAAGAGGTGGCCTTGCGTCTTTGCGGCTGCTTGGACGGGCCTTTTCAATGGCTGGAAAGAGCTCGTTCAGTGTCTCGGCTTCGGACGCAGTCAGGTTACCGTCGAAGAGCTTGTCAAAGGCCTCCAGCTCCGAAACGGATAGCGCTGATGGACCCTTGGTGTAGCTCATACGCTGCATGATCAACACCTCACCTCGCTTGGAAGGTGGCACTTGGAGAGAGGCTATGAGCCGTCAACCGTCTGCTCCACCACGGTAGTATCGGCTTAGCAAGAGGTTGCTTGGGAGGCTCACGAATCAGCGGAGAGTCCCTCTTACGCGTGGCATTGTTGATAAAGCTGTCGAGGCGGCGTTTGACAGAGTCGTCGTTGTCCACAGCCTGATGGGTAACCCTCGGTGGTGAACTGGGAGGGCCATCATCCACCATTAGGTTGACTGCGTGTGTCTTCGGTGAGTCCACTGCCCACTAGATGGGGCGCGGGGGTGGTGTCCGCAGCTCACAGGAGACCACCGTCGGGTCCACATCCTCCAGCTGGGAGGCCACCACCGTTGGGGCCTCATCCTGTAGCTGGGGGCATCGAAGGTGATGGGAGGCGCTCAAGGGAAGGCCACACGACGATCCGACTGCCGATGAGTGAGGCTACGAACTCCTCAACCATCGGGTCCTCCAAGATGTCATGATCATGCGTGGCGCCCGGGTACAGCGTGAGCGTCAATGGGTTGGCCTCAACGATGCCCGTCTCGTTGGTCAGCCCACTGTGCCTTGCCTGAGCTCCTGCAACGACTGAGGTGAAGTCTGGTGTCGCTTGGGCGGCCCCTGCCAACCGCCCGTGACTGCCGGTGGCGACACTCGTTGCCGCAGCAGTGTTGTCCCCCTTCAGTCGGCGCCAACATCTCCGCCGTTTGCGCCGACCGCCGCCGCGCGTAGTCGCACCTAGTACAGCTGCAGCCGCACCCGACACAACTCCAGCCACGCTCAGCGTGTCGCCCTAAGCATGCGGCCGGTTGCCCAAGATACGCTCCCAGACAGGTCGTCGTTGCTGCCCTTCTAGGACACCAAATGTGCCGGAGCTGGAAGGAGGCACCGTCCGCCGCCGCTTACAGTCCTACGCGTGGTGTCGGAACCTGTTGCATCGGAGGCAGCGTGGAGGCATCTTGCAGGTTGCCACCCTGTGCGCGGTGGAGAAACAGTTGAAGCACTTCCCATGTAGCTCCGCCAGATAGTGGGTAGGGGGGCGCTGGTTCGTCGATGTAGTGTGGGCGCGTGCCCCGCCGGCACTGCTTGATGACCCCTGCGACAAGACCTCACGCCACCCATCGACGTCTAGAGCAGAGATGCGCTAGCGGGCAGAGCCCCATCCGAGGCGTTGGTGGGCAGGGACGCGGCCATCCACGGGCCAAGCAGACAAGCCGTGTACCAGCTAGGGACGCGGCCATGGATGGCGAGACCTACGGTTGCGCTGCCCGTGCACAACGCTAACACCAGAAGCACTGTTGTGCGCACCTCTAGCGACATTGGCTAGTTGGGCTCCCCTAGCCAGGGGACGCTTGCCCCGCTCAGCAGCAACGTGTAACACCCCTGGTGTTACGAGCTTGTTTAGCACCGTGATTTAGGCCTAAGTCAAATTTTTGAAATGAGTTTCTCATATTTTTGATTTAAAGCTATAACAGAACCGACCAATTTATAAGAGCATAAGTACGAAAGCAATCACCAGAGTGATCGAACCGTCATACTTAAACCCATATGAACCCGGTAGTCAACTGAAACCACGAAGGATTTCAAACCAACTTGCATACAACCAAGATCATCGTAATTCAACATAACAAGCCACATGTTACATCCATTTCACAAGTAGTTCACAAGTACCTCATACATCAGAGTTCATATAGTTATTACAAAACGAGTTCAAAAATAGCGGAAGCAAAGTAGTTTGAGACCATCACACACACTTAGTTCAAATACAAGCCAGCTCTATAGTCATATCTAGCAAAAGCAACAAGATAAGATAACATAGATGATCATGCCCATGATATAGTCTTCATCCCCAGCAGGGTAGAGACAATACTTGCAGTAGCCGTTATAGAGCACGTCATCTGCAACAAAGGGGAAATAAACCCTGAGTATGAGAATGTACTCAGCTAGACTTACCCGTCGTAAACCAGAAATAAATGACACCAAGGAGTATGCAAGGCTTTATCGGTGGATCTTGCTTAACAACCATTTTGCATAAAAGCTTTAGTGATATGAGAGCATAATTTAATTTATGAGTAAGCAGCAAGTTATCAATATTAACATGTCAACTAGATTAGCACCTGTACTAGAGCAAGCAATTGATTTAACTCCAAACATTAGTAACCATATCCGATATAATGTTGTATCATCATCATCATCATCGATGTAACCATCAAGTTCCATTAAGTGCATCTACGTTGTCGCTGCTCAGTCAAGTTCTCACTATTCGGGAGAGACGGCGATTCGAATCGATTCCTATCTAGCTGGAGGGGTATTCCTAACACAAACCCAGCATACGCGCCTTGAAAGGCAGCCTTAGGTCACCTTTGGTACATCTTAGGAATCGTGGCTCCGAGCAGCGCTGCACCCTCAGGGAGTCCACTCTGTAGGTGGTCAGTCTCACCTAGGACTTACGTC